CACCAGGCGGCCCCCATTGAGCATTCTCAGCCAGCATTCTGGAAATAGGGGACAGAACTGGGCACTGGAAACTCATCAGCTTTCTACCCAGCCAATGTGCATCTGGGGACCTAGTCCACTCCTTCCTTCCTCCAGGGATCACCTAGAAGTCTTGACTTCCCTTTGTTCAGCCCTTTCCCCAGCTCATTCTCCTCCACACCTCAGCACCTCCAACCTGTCTCCCAAATCGAGAGACATGCTCCTTCCACCATGGGACTTATATGAACTCAGTCTGCACCACGCAGTGTTCATAGCATCTCCTCACCTGTGAGCCCCCTGGAGATAGTCATCCCCTCTAGAGCTGGTTCTGAGCTCTCAGATCACATGTGGAAGTCAACTGTGGCTGTGACATTTTAAGAGCAATAGATGTTCATAAACCAATGATTATTTAGGCAACTAAATGGGGATGGACATCCAGGGTGGTGAGAGCTCTAGGAACCATTTCATCCAGGGAAAAGACACAGTGTTTCAGGTTGATAGCCTTGCAACATGTTAGACAGTTAGCCTTGGAGACAGTTATTCTCTGTGCCTCTGTTTCACCATCTATAAAATGGGTATATTAATAGTACCCACAGCATCAAGTTGCCATGAGGATGAAATGAGTTAATATATAAAAAGTACTGCAAAAAACACCTGGCAGGGTAGGTACTATACAACTGCTGTTGTTGTTTTTTATCATTACTGTTATTATTACTATGATTGGAGAAGAAAAAGCTAAGGAGACACAGGAGCACTGCCTGCCACGCATCTACCGTGTGACTCAGTCTTAACAAAAGTGGAGCCTGAGACCAGATTCCAATTCTGACCCCTCCACTTAACAGCTAGACGATCTTTGCAAAGCTTTTAGTTCTTGGAGCCTCCATTTTATCATCTGACTCCAGGGTGATATTTCCTTCCTCACCTAACAAGTTTATTATGAGGATCAGAATGCATTAGTGGCCTTTGCAAGCTGCAACACAGTTACTGCTCTCCTAGGTGCACCTGAGCTGATGGCAGTTGGGTAAAGAGGAGACATCTTTAGGGTTGCTTCAAAGAGACAGAACTGGGACCAGAAGGTAGACATTATCATGAGGTCAACTGCAGCTTTAACTAAGGAAGAACTTTCTAACAGCAGCTTCCCCAGAGGTAATGAGATTCCTGACACGAAAAGGAGTCCAGCACTGTGGGGAGAGTGGAAGGATTCAGCTCTAAGGGTCTGGTTTTCTGTCCCTGCTACGCCTGCCACTGTGGCAGAGCCTGTTTTCCAGATCCTGCAGAAAGTGCCAGGTCTCCCCACGGAGGTTAGACAGGAAGACTTTGCTCAGATCCCTTCCCTCCCTCCCTGCAGCTTCTCTCTTCAGGGAATTGCCCCCCTCCTCACCCCATTCTGCTGCCCTGCCTGCCTCCTGTTTTGCCAAACATCTCCAGGAAGGAAGGTTCCATGGCCTCCTTTGTTATTAAGAACCTCAAGTCCTTCCATAGGTCAAGCCTAAATCTTTCCCGGAATTGGATGCAAAATTATGTTCTCTGTTTTCTGGAGATGTGAAGACTGGCCCTCTCTCTTGGGTGAACAAAGCCCTCTCCTCTGTTGGCCAGAAAGAAAGAGACCACAGTGGCTGACCCTTCACATTGGATTCTTAGAATTTCCTTGCTTTGTGTGGAAGATCTTTAGCCTTTATCCCCTTTCCTGGAAGTTACAGAGCAGCCCAGAACCCTGCACCTCCTCCCTCCTCCCCCTCTGCTGGCCATGCCCAGGTGCCAGTAAGTGGGCATCCCCGGTCCGACTTTGCCTCATTCTAGTTATCTTGTCCACTGATTTCCACCTCCTCCCTGCTTCCCCTGTAGGCGTCATTCGTCTTGCCTCGCCTCCTGCACCCGCCACCAGCATGATTCACACTGGGGTCACTACCCACCAAGCTGCATTAACCTATCTACCCATCCCTGCCTCTCTCCTTGAACAGAAGCCAACAGCCCTGGACCCCTCCCTTCTGAACTCCTGACAAGTATACCCTCCTCTTACTGATGTTCTTCCCCAGGGACTCTCACCAATCCCCCAACACTGGATGCCTCTACCTGGCCCCTCCTTAAAGCACAACGGGAGAAAGAGCTTTGAAATCAAACACACTTGGTTTGTTACTCAGCTGCTAACCTGGGAGGCACTGGCTTCTGGGGATGGGATGAGGGGTGTTTAATCCCAGGTCCACCACCTGCTACCTGTGTGAACTTGGGCAAGTTACTTCACCTCTCTGGGCCTCCGTTTCCTCATCTAGAAAACAGGAGTAATACTGGTACCTACCTCAGAGGTCTGTTGTGAGGATTTAATCATTTAATTAATGTAGAATTTAATTTGTCTGGCACATATTAAGTCTACATAAATTTTAGCTATAGTTGCTGTTGTTTTATTTGCTGTGTGACCTTGTTCAATTATTTCACTTCCATTTTCTCATCTGCAAAATGGAAATACTAATAATGACTGGATTTGTCAGGATTAAATAAGATAGTGTTTATAAAGCACCCAGTGCAGGGTCAAGCACATAGTCGGTGTTCAATAACCTTCCCGTGCACTAAGGAGCTTTCCCTGACTCCCCTCCCTTCCTGGGTGCTCTCTCCACTAGGTCCCGCAGCAGCCCAGCCCATCATGCACCAGGGATTCTTTCTGTGTAGATGCCTATCTCCTGGTCTTCAGGGACATAGAGGCAGAGGCTCTGGTTTTCATTCTCTGGGGCTTTTTCCTGGACTGTTCAGGGCCTGTCCCCAGCAGAACCTTAGAAAATATTCAGGCCTCAACAGATGCACCCCTGCCCTCTTCATTTCTCACCTACATCATTTTGGGGGTCTGGGGGAGTTAGGGGGAGAGAACAGGGAAATGAGTTGTAAACATCTCATAGGAAACATCATTAATTCTACATCCCACACCTTGGGTATTAAGGAGAGGCAGGGGTTTGTGATTAGGCAAACAGAGGTTAAGTCACAGCTCAGTCACTGTCTCTGTGACCTTGTGACTTGTCTCTTTTTGCCTCAGTTTCCTGAAGTGTAAAATGGGGTATTAATAGTACCTGCTTGGATAATTGTTGGGAGAATTAAAGGAGAAGCCTGTAGAGTACTCAGCAGTGTCTGGTACATAGAGCAGATTCATAGCAAATGGCCCCTTAACACTGGACGCTATATGGAGGCTAATCAATGGAACGGCCCGGCAGTTTTTCCTCTGCAGGACAGGACGTCCCAACCCTTATTAGCCCAAGACACACCTTTGGACACAACAGAATATATGGGGGGCCTTCACCACCAATATGTGGCCAATCCCAGTCCTCTAGCACACACATACGCAATGTGTTTGCTCACCCACACACACACACTCACACAATCACAAACACACGCACTCATAAATCTTCTACTCCTTGAAGGCAGAGACTAGACCTCACACAATTTTTACTATAATTAGCGCAGTATGCTGCAGGCATTTGTTGATATGCCTATATCTTCCATTTTTTCTTTCCCAGTACCTGGCAAATTACCTGGCCTTCAATGAAGATGGCATGGATTATTAATAAGCCCATTTGCCAGGTACCTAGCACTGTGTCTGGCTTGCCGCAGGGGTTCCNCCTTCAATGAAGATGGCATGGATTATTAATAGGCCCATTTGCCAGGTACCTAGCACTGTGTCTGGCTTGCCGCAGGGGTTCCCACAGTGAGGCATGACTGAGTGACCACAAATATAAGGTATATACAAACACCCAGTCCCACCTTCCTTTTTTCTCCATAGTTTACCACCTCCTCTGGCTTCCAGACCAAAAGTTGGCAAAGAGCAGTGATGAAACCAAAAATGTCAGGACACACCCAAGCACTTAAAGTCAGGCTCCTGGGCAGGTAAACTGTGCAGCTCAGCAGGGGTCACTTCCCCATTTTCGCCTGGGTCTTTGGGAGACCAGCTGGACAAAGGAACAGGGGAACAGCTATCCTGTCCCATTCTTCTCTGGCTTCATAACTCATCCCAGTCTCAAGGCTCACCATTGCTTTGCCAACATCCCTCATTTTGCTTTCTCCAAAACAAACTCCCCTTCTAACCTAAGACTAACATAGCAGGGTCTAGCCCCAACCAGCTCCCACTACCCACCACCGTAGCACCTGAGATAGGTTCTTCTCTGGAGAAGACAGAGGTCCTGTTCTTTGCTCTCCTCTCCTTCCAGGGAAAGGCTAGGGATGACCTCCACCCTGCCCCTTTGGAAGTTACCAGCATCTTGACCTCATCAGCACCCCCTCCTGCTTGTGGGAGGAAGGGAGGAGGAGGGCACTGTTTTTCCAACAACCACTCTCTGGATAAGCAGAGGGCACTAGGAAGACTCCACTGGACTGAACAGCCAGCCCATCAAGTGTGGACTCCCAATCTTGCCCAAGGGGAAGTCTGCCTGGGGGCAGTATTGCCTTCTACCCCGAGGTCTGAGGGTCTGCCTGCCCAGGGGGCACCTCTGCACCCTGTGCACCACCCTTCCAGGCACCGGGAAGTGGTGGAGCACAACTGACCTGTAGGGATTGAGGGTGCAGACGGTAACAGCGGGGAAGACCAGCTTGTCAGAGTTGAGGTTGATGTTGAGGCTGACGGGGTAGCTAAAGTACTCTTCGAACAGCAGGCCGAACTGCCAGTACATCATGCCGAAGGTGCAGAGCCAGAGCACAGCCCAGAAGGCCGTCTTCATGCGGTTGTGCTGGGAGCACACCAGGCGGATGGCACCGTGGATGGTAGTGTTGTTGCAGAAAAACTGGAAGAGGTCTCGATAGGAGCGGTGGAACTCGATCAGGGCTTCCTCCTCCTCCGTGGGCTGCTGGGGGGCCTCAGGCTTGGGGCTCGGCCCCGGCTCCTCACACTTGTCTCCCTTCATAAGCCCTTGGGTGGGTTGTGGAGGGTGAGGGTCAGGGTCAGGGCAGAGTTCTGGACTCCAAGTGCCCACCCCCATCATCAGCTTGACCCCAGAGAGAGGCTGCCCCAGGCCATGCCCACATCCACCCTGAGCCCACGTTCTCCCAGCCCTCCCTCCCTCCACTGGCCCAGGAGCCAGCTGACCTGCTGGAGTCAGGGCCAGGGCTGGAGCTGGGCTTTCCTGGAGTGGCCTCTCCTCTGCTTCCCTGATAAGGTCACCTTTTGGTTTCAGTCCCAGCACCTCCCTTTTCGTCTCCTCAGCCATCAGCTCTGCTTAGTAGTCAGTCTTGTTCTTGGTATCTCTGTCCTAGCTTCTCTCTCTCACTCTGCACTCTGCTTCTCTTGGTCTCTTTCCTGACTCCCTCCTTCCTCCCCTCACTCCTCCGTGTGCCAGGCTCTCTGATCCTGCCTCTCTTCCTTTCTCCACCCCTCGCCTCTCAGGCCGGGCTTACTCCTCCAGTCCCACGCCCTGGTCCTGGTCCTGGGCTCTGTCCTGACTCCCTCTGTCCCAGGGATGGCAGGACTCCAGGAGTCCTGGCTGTCACCTGCTCCCCACTCCCAAGTTGTGACTGGACTGGGACTGGTTCCTTTCTAGTTGAATCTGGCAGCCTCTCCTCCCCCTCACCTGACAGGTGCAGCGACTGGCCTGGGAGCCCGCCTGCCGGCCTCGGGTGGAAGCAACAGAAGCCTCATTAGCATCTCAATTAAAGGTGAGCAGGACAGGGGGAGGGCCAGAGGAGGAGTCTGAGCGGAGAGTTCCCCAGCGGGAGGAGGGCTCCTGAGGGCAGGTGACCTGGGAGTGCTGGCACTGGAGAAGACCGCAGGAGCGCCCACAGAAGAGTCAGGGCCTGGGGAGAGATAGGAGGCCGACAGACAGGCAAGGAGACCGGAAAACAGAATGGCAGGTGAGGCTCAGAGATCTTGGCCAGGGAGAAGGATCCTGAACACAAACCCAAGACAAGGAAAAAGGACAAGTCAGGACAATGAGGCTAAGGTGGGGAGACCAGGAGAACAGGAAAGGCAGAAAAAGGGAGACAGAATGAAGGGCTGGGGGG